GTGTTATTCATCGTGAAAAAGCTGCTTGTGATAAATTGAGTTAGATATTTCGTAAAACGCAAGAAATTACTATTGTCATTTTTACATCTTTCGAAAAAGGATTTTATGGAATAGAAGCAACAGAATTCAAACTGTTGAATATTATTTTTGACATGTGTGAATACGATGAAAATAAGATCGAGAGAAAATCATCAGTAAACGGTTGTGTTTGAACAAGTTTCCATTAAGATGGTACGAAATCAAAAAAATATATTTTGAACTAACTCAATATTACCCAATTTATATGATATGAAAGCTTATTGCACATAAAATAAAAAGTTAAATACATATACATTTTCTTAAAAGACTGACCATAATAAGTATAGGAGTCGTCCTTTGTTACAATAGAGAAATGTATAACTAATAGAAGTATTGACTGAGTTTTTTATCTAACAGAAAATCCTGTTAGTCCTGAAAAAACTAGAGCAAGTTGGCTTTCAAATTCATGAGACTAGGAGTGACGTGAGGATAATAGACCACGGGCTTTCCCCAGGGCACTGTGCTGGGGCCAATTCTATTCAATTTGTTTTCAAACAATCTACTTAATATATCTAAAATACATTTCCTTTACAAATTATCAGAATCATTTACCAAAATTCGACCAACTAACCATAAACAGGAACCGAAATGAAATAATCACGCTCGAGGAAGTAGATAGCATAAAGTACCTGGGCATTATGATACATGGCATTTCAGATGGGATCTGATTCAGAAATTGAGGATGCTATTAGTGGAGTTCAAATTCTTTAAACAATTTTCAACCTTACCTCAACTGAAAATACTTTATCACCCACTCAACAAATTAGTTACGGTATAATAGAATGGGAAAGTGTCTGGATACCCTTAAAGTTTCACAGAAGATGATATTTGAATTTATATTTAATGAACAAAAAAAACTATACCAGGATCTGGCATGTAACTTTTTCAGTGCTTGTGAAAAAAATTGTTATACAAATTTTATGTACCCCCTTCAAGAGGCTGTATCTCAATAAGGGACGCTCCAATGAAGTTTCTTTATATGAAAGATTCTATCTTTTTTTCGATGAGGAATCACCTCCTTGAATGTTTTACACTTATTCAGTTACACCNCACACTGTATGAATATTAGAAGCAAATTACATCAGTATGACACTGTTTACACTTGATAATGATACATATGAAGTATAACAGAGTTTGAAAGCACTCAATAATCTCCTTCAACGTGAAAATGAGTGATGATTCCCCAACCCATTGAAATTATTCAGAAGCATCCCATCCATCAAGATTAACCTGTCCAACATTATAATTAAATCTCATTCATCCCAAGTAATATAAAATCCTTTGAAGCACTTACCGAAAACATCCAAGCATCCCTTCTGCGATTTCAAAACAGGAGTATTTATTTGGCAGAGGTAGCAACCTCTGTCGGATTCTTTGACGGGCCTTATGCGCAGTTTCCAGGTTTCGGGATCGTCGTGGGTTACGCTGACACGGTTGTTGTGAGTTACCACTTTCGTGTGCAGACTGAGGATAGTCTGATCTTCCGCCCTAACCCAAGCGACCTGGAATGAGTAAAGAGAAATGAGGCATTAACCTGGAATGACGTTGAAAAATCGGTGGGGATTAGATGTGTTTTGGATCCGAGAAACAAATGAATCAAACAGAGATTCTACGTCAGGATACGTTCGTTAAGTGAATTGGTTCCATGTGAAGAGGTGATCCTGTGTTTGATGTCATTTTATCAATACATGCATTGAATGGATAATTATATTACCAGTTTTCTCATTGACAAATTTTAATAACACTAGTTGTTGCCGCAGCTTCATCGGCGTAGGATTCGGTTTGTCACATTTAGTTTCGTGACATACCATTTTAACCAAATAGGTACCCACAATATTTTTTAATCAATCCAAAACTTCAGGTTTCCAACTTCAAAACTGATGACAGTCAATACAATCTTTGAATCCCTATTTCCCCCCCTTGGAGGTAGAAATTCCGGATTCCCTTTCTTGATACTTATTCACGCTATACAAAAAACCTACCTGCATATTAAGGTACACTAGGTTCTGTAGCTTCGGCCGTCCGATAATAATAATAGAGTCCTTTGTGAGTATCAATCAGGTGTTCGGACCAAACATAGTTGGTGAAACTGCGTTACAATGTGTTTTAACAGATTGGAAGAAAGGTGCGGAAATGGATCAGTATACTATTGCAGTATTTCTTGACCTTCAAAGGAGCTTTGGAACTGTAGATAGATGCAGACTGATTAGAAAGATTGAAAGCGTAGAAATTGATGGAATAGTACTAAACTGGATCATGAATTATCTGAGCAATAGACAGCAAAGGTTGAAACTAGAGGAAGTTTATTCGGATGGAATGCAAAATAATATAGGTGTACCCCAAGGGTATATTTTGGGACCATTGTTATTCCTCATATATCTAAATGACATTATAACCATAGCAGAATAATGTAGATATCACTCATTTGCCGACGATAGCCTGCTGTACTTTAGTAGTGAAGATGTACATGAGTGTGTTGACACTATAAACGCTAGTCTTGAAAGGGTGTATAGATATTGCTCTGCAAATCTGCTGAAGGTGAACGTAAATAAAACAAAATGGATGTTATGAGGGAAACATAGAGATCATAATAATGAAAACCTACTTCAACGATTGAATGACAGTAATATAGAGGAGGTAAACAAATTCGTGTTCTTGGGTGTAACTATTGACAGCAACTTGAAATTCAAGGAACATGCTAATCAAGTTATCAAAACAATATTTTACAAAATCAACTATTCAAGAAAATGTTCCTCATATATGAACCAGTGCCTAAATTATGAGTCTACAACTCCATAATACTTTCACATTTGAATTATTGTTATACTGTTCTGTTTTTTCTCAATCAAATTGAAATAAACAGACTACAAAAGATGCAGAATCGTGCTATTCGAATAATCTCACTATGTTCGAGTATAACACCCATAGCAAATATGTTGCAAACCCTTCAATGGCTACCAGTGAAGAAATTCGTCAAGTACCGCGTTCGATTCGCATTCTCGGCGATGGCGCTTGATTGCTTAGACCGCCCCTCTACCCCCGCGCACCGTCCCACGCCGTCTTACAGTAGACGCGACGGGTAATGGTTATTCTTATCGTGATAACTTTTGAACACAGTATCGAGTTTTTCTGTACTGTTGATTTGTTTTATTGCTATTAACCTGACTTACTAATAACTAATTTAGTTGAAATACGATTAGAGTGGCACTTCACCTTTTTTTTTCATAATAGCTTCAATAACAATCTCATTTTGTTTGCAACTAAATCCACTAATTGTGGTTTGAGAAAAGTTCCTTCAAAAGGAATGTTATTGTTTGATAACCATCCTTGGATCAGCTTTCTTTGATGCTGTTCTTGGGGCTTTATTGATAACAGTGCTTCGACCATAACTGAAGGCTCTTCTGAATTTATATGAATATACAGGGCCATTCAAATTCGTTTCTGTACATGGGGATCTCGTAAACGATAAAAGATAGAGTGGCAAAGTTGTGTATTTTAGAGACCTATTCAATGATGTAACAAAATCGAATATAGCTCTTTTGGTTCTGGAGATATACAGGAAGAACAAAAAATTTCCAAATTATTTTTTTGCCTATATCTTCTTTATTCGNATTTAACCGACACTCTATCTCTTATCGTTTACGAGATCCCCATGTACAGAAACGAATTTGAATAGCCCTGTATATAAATAAAATATAAATGAATATACGCAGATTTTATCAAAAAAATATTCAGTTTTGAAAAAAAAGGCTTACAGTTTAAGAGTTATTTTCGATTCGGCAACGTCTGAAATTTTACTATCAGTTGAGCAATTTACAAAATGAAATCTGACTTGATTCATCGCTATTGAACGCATTTACAAAATTTCCAAAATTACCAAAAATGACGTTATTCTCTTCTTAACGCCAAGCATTTTGGGAGACTTATTAAGAGGGGCTGACATGTGAGGCTGAAATGAAAGTGAGCTGTCCAGGAGTAAACATAAGTCTTTTATTTCTGTAACATTATTGCGATAAGCAATGCGAAAAAAAGCCATTTTTGTGTTCACTCTTCATTGCTTGTTCATAATTTTTTGCCGAAAACAACACTGTAATGATGTCTCGGCCACCTTATTCACCAGATTTCCCTCTGCGACGTTTTTCTGTTCCAAAAATTAAAGACACCCATGAAAAGACGGCATAGTAAAACGATTACAAAGTTCAAAATATATTACTTCCTACTTAGATTTTTCTGTGTTTTATCATTGAAAAAAGAATTTTGTGGCCGACCAAGAGGCAAAAAAAATTATACTCGACCAAATGATTGAAAAATATACAGGGTGCTATTGAAAGAGTTTATTCCCTTTCAACCCTGTATAGATATCTCCATTTCAAATGCACCACCCCATGAACAACAGAATAGCACCGTGAGCAATGATTCCGCAGTAAAATAGATACTATAATTTTTTTCAAATAAGATTAAATTCGATAGTTCATTTCCACTCGATCAATCGATATCGGTGAATGTATCATCTGATAAACAATTAACCACCCTTCGGGTAGCTACCTCGATATAGATGAGATTGGAACGTGATCAGGAATTAGCTGTGGCTCTACACGTGGCCCGAATGAAAACATGGTCACGTTTTGGATGACAGAGAAATTAATTTCAGGTAGTGGATTGGTTTTCAATGAATACTACAAGAGATCCTCATGATTGTTATGGAGTACGTTTCATTTTCTGGCCTGTGAATGAGAAAATCATTTCCGTTATACTGGGTGTTTTTTAAATACGGTACCAAACTCCGAAAGGTTGTGCGTTAGGCTGTTGAAAAAGTGTGACTGTGATGTGGTGTACGCGTTTTTTAACGTGGTTTCCCCAGTAGGCTTATTCCATGGGTCAGTTGTGATCCTGTACAATTTGAAACTACTGCAAAACAATGGATATTAGCAGAGATTGGAAAGATAAAAGTTGAAAAATGTTGTGAAATTCAATCGTCCGAGTCGTAACTTTCAAATTCTTCTTCTTGTTTTTCTTCATCTTCATCCTGAGTAGATGTAAACTGCGTTAATAGCGATGTCGCCTCCTTGGAATCAAACGGATTCTCCTCTGTTGGTGATTCAATATTAGAGCACGATCGGCCCTGACAATGTGTACATGCCAGAGAGCCAAACAGTCCGGCTTTTTTGCAGTTTTTCCGGGGTAGGTAAGTAAAGTTTGGAATGGTTGTAATGAATTGTTGACTAACTTCCAACCCCAGTCTGTAGGGTCTAGCTGATAACAAAGCCACGCTTGAACTTAAGCAGCAGCTGAGGTTGGAGGAAGACAAGGTAATTGTATTTGTTTTTTACTTTTAACGAAACATGTGTATCTACAGGGTGTAACTGAATAAGTGTAAAACATTCAAGGACGTGATTCCTCATCAAAAAAAAGATAGGATCTTTCATAAGAAGAAATTTCATTGGAACATCCCTTGTTAAGATACAGCCCATTGAAGAAGGAACATAACATTTGTAAAACAATTTTTTTCACAAGCACAAAAAAAGTTACATTATTGAAATTAGCCTGACGATTTGTACTACCAAAAAGACACTTGGCCAGNCTTAAGAAACCGCATCATCGATGCGTGCAGGGTAATCAGAGAGACTCCAGGAATATTTGAGCGAATACGTGGCTCAATGCGCCGACGTCTAGACGCATGCGTAATCTCTGAAGGTAGACATATTGAATATTTACTATTATTTCCACATGTTATGTGTTTTGTTATTAATAAATTCGTTTTGTTCATTACCCTTTAATCGTTTAATACAGGTACTAACTACAAAATGACAATAAATCCAGTTCGCATTTATGACGATGTATCTCTGTAGTTGTTCGTAAAATAATGTTTTGCTACGAACTGGTTTATTTTGGGCAAAAAACCCAAGAGAAATTTATTGTTTGGAATAAAACAGACGATCGGAAATGAATTTTTAAATGGTAGACAAATAATAAGACACAAAGTTACATTGGAAATTAGTTTTAGGGGTTGCGTTTTCCACCCCTTACAACCATGGGGTGAACCAAATAAATCACTGGCTAAGTGTCTTTTTGGTAGTACAAAACGTCAGGTTTATTCCAGTATTGCAACTTTTTCAGTGCTTGTGAAAAAAATTGTTTTACAAATTTTATGTACCCCCTTCAAGGGGCTGTATCTTAACAAGGGATGCTCCAATGAAGTTTCTTTATATGAATGATCCTATCTTTTTTTCGATGAGGAATCACCTCCTTAAATGTTTCACACTTATTCAGTTACACCCTGTATACTTATCCAAGCAGGTAATCTTTTTAGGAGCTCCATACATAGAAAGGAGAAAGCAAATGTCGTTAGTGTTAATTTCTTGCCTAGTTGAATTACTGTTTTTGAAAACTTCAACACATTGAACTGAATTTTGTTTTTTAAATATTTTGAAAACTGTTATTTTATCCCTCCTGTAAAATGCAGATGTCGTATCACAGCCAGTTATTGCGTGTAAAAATAGAA